CGTTTATTTCTCATTATAATTATTTTTATAGTGGCGTTGATAACGTCACCAATCAACCACATTTCATCAGGCATTCTCACTTGTGCTGATAAGGTTTCAAATTCTTGACCGACTTCAATCAACAAAGGAAGTCTGATTACCTCTTCCTGTGCCAAGCGTTAGACTTCCACTTTATTTGTCTCACGGGTAGAAACGAAACAATTATCGTCAAGCATGTCTCCAGGGCGAAAAGTAGTCTACAGTAAATCTATAAATTATAGTCCGCATGAGATTCGTTCGCATCCATTTAAATTTATCAATCTACCTATATATCTAAGTGCGATTACGTCTTTCTACTGGATAGTGCTGTGTCCATTCCTCTACGCATATTTTGCAAACAGTTATGAAACGTTTTCGAAGATTAGTCATTTTTATTTGCTGCTGGCTTTTGTTGTATACCTGCTGATACTGGCAATCCTCGTTTTTCTTTGGAGATTCAAATTCAGAAGGGAAGCTCACTACATTTATTATTCTTCGGAGACTCAAGCTACCGAAACGGAGATGAAGCGTCATCCATCAGATTCTCACGTGATGCCAGAACCGGACTATACACCAAAGCCAAAACCGACTCCTATTTGTATAACGTTGCAGGAATCCAGACCGATCTCACAGAACCTTTCCTCGCCCTTGACGCCTCGTGAATTGTTCCTGTTCGATTTGATAGAAACAGCTGTGAAGTCAGACAAAGAGGCTTCCCGGCAGTTCATCGAAAAGGAACGTGAGAACTGCTTGGAAGATGTGAAGGTTTCTGCTGTCAGTGATTGCGAGGAGGTGAATAGAGAGTTCTTCATCGCCAGTGCGGAAGTGAAGGAGGCTTGCGTTACGGAAGTGTTTTTGTTTGTTCAAGAAGATCGTGTTGATGATGATGATAGGGGTTTCGAGCGTGTTGTGCTGGTCGATTAGTTGATTTTTGCATTTGTGACGTAGTTCTTGTGTACAAGGTTATTCTGTGATGTAACGAAGAATTATATTATTTTCAGTGAATCGTATCCACGATACAGCCGCCGGCCATTCAGCAGTTTTTCNAAAGGACCGTGTCATCGGCGAACGTGAAATACCTTCCCTTAAGCCCGGCCTGCCTCAGTGACAGTACCATCAGTGTATAGAACAGGGGCCCCAAAACGGAACCCTGTGGTACGCCACAATTATTTTTAATATGCTCACTCATACTCTCACCAACAACGACAAACTGGGATATTTCCTTTAAAAATGTCTCAATGAGAGAATAAGTTTTGCCCCTTATACCCATGCAACATAGTTTGTTCAAAAGAACAGTATGGTCAACAACGTCAAATGCCTTTCTTAAATCAATGAACACTTCAGTAACCATTCTTTTTTTATCCGATGTAATATTATGAATGAAATCTATGGTAGCATGCTGCTACCCTTGATAAAACCATACTGATACTCATCAAATCCCACATATTAAATCACATATTGGTGATGAAATCTAATGAACGAAACATCGCTTTGCAAATTGGTTTGTATCAAATTGTAACAAATCTGAAACAGTGTTGATGGTTTCTCTGCCTTTTTTATATCATTTGAAATGGAGGCGGTAGAGCCAAAAACGAAATTTGACAATTCTAGTTTCTGGCGAATATTTCATTGATATCCCATTGATATTCTCGATATAAAAAGATATTTTCTAGTTCTTCAAAATAAGAAACTTGTGTTCAATTTAACCGACTTTCTACGTCTTACCAATAGTGGGATCGGCCAAAAAACGGTCTGTATAAATAAGCAGAATTTATAAATTTGACAAGTTACTGACTAATTCGACTCTTCAAAGATTTTTTAAATAACTTTTCGTGATGAACGTTTCAGTTTTCTTTTTATTACACTTGAGCAGATTCTCTATTGATGTATATTTATTTATTTTCAAATAGCAGGAGATACCTGGGAGGTAGTGTGGGACTCAGAAAATATGAAGGAACAAAATTCAATCTTCATTCACCCAATTTCATTGTTCTTCTATAGGTATTATTATTGTTTGCAGAGATTTTGGAAATTTGTTTGAACTTCCACAGAAACTTTCAGAATATGAACATAGAACTTATTCACAGAGTAAAGTCTGATTTGGGCCACCCGAAAACTTTGAAATTTTCAGTACAGACCTGTAAATTTCAAAGTAATATTTCATTCAGAAATGTACATGTTTTCGGCTATTTGATTAACATCAGATATATTGATTTCATTTTATTATGGTCCTAATGATGGCCCAAATGGAGGCAATACTTGATCTTTTTATATCAGAAAAAAATACACCCTGAGAACACCAGAAAGTATTAATGAATATGAATAGGTGGTTTAGAAAAATGGGCTACCAGCAAAAATTTGTACCTAATTTTATTTCGACAGTATATTTGAAACTAAGAATGGCATACTGGACTTTATTATTGGTTATCTGTAAGCCTCAAATTAAATAAATATAAACATAAAACGAAACATAAATCTATTTACATCATATGGAACAATACCACCTTATTGTTCTCAAACACTATTCATATTTTTTATTACTGACTGATTCTCGAACGTTATATTACACTGAAATCAATTCTACTAATTCAGTATCTGATGAAAATAATTGTTTTGTATTCGAATCAGATGACATTCACAGAAAGGCTACTCATCATCAACACCTTTTTGGTTAAAGTAAAGAGAAAACACTCATTTCTTACAAAATATGATTTAATGTCATCGGGAGAGACACTACTGCTCTTGTTATGAAGACAAGAAAAGTAACTTCTGTGCAATTCAATGTTCATGTTTGAAAGTAGTTGTTTCGGCTCGATCTTTTTTCCCAGTTTTTATTCGAAATTAACTTCTATGCACGACCTACACATCTTTATAAGGAGTTCACATTGAAGTTAATTATACTTTTTTCTTCTCTTCAAAAGTGTTCCACATTTTTTGTATAATGATGGAGAAGTGGAAAGACAAAAAGCTTTTTTCCACCTTGTATTACACGGTGAAGTCAATACTCATTTTCATTTGTTATTGAAAAATGTTTTTTATAGTTTTCAATGGTTTTGGGGTGTATTTTTTTACTGATGGATACCCGCGAAATGTCTTAGCCTACATCGCTCATGTGTTTATTGAACACCGTGGAAGCTGGAATGGAGGAAGGAACAAGTTCAAATTGAACTTATGGAGATTATGTGCCTCTGAAAATAAAGGATTGGGATATAAATGTATTTCAGGTAGGAAGGTCCGAAGTGCAACCTGCAGAGGTTAATTGTAGCTCACCTATTCCAACTCTGATTCGGCCGTGGCTGGGCAGACACGGCTCTGCTGTTACATCATCTTCTGGAAAACACTGTCTTCCGACAGTCCAAGTTTTTTCATATGATGACTCAGATGACAATGACCTGTAGTCGGCCTGTTAGAAAACATAGGTCATCCCTGCTGCAATCTTACAATTGTTTGATAACATATATCAAAGGATGTATGAGTGAATGCTTTGGAATAGGCCAATTCTGATAGATTTCCTAAGCCAATATTGAAGCATTTATACGTGAAATACCGGTCGATATGTTAGAGAGAGTGTGCCAAAATTGGACCTTGCGCATGGGCCATCTAAAGCGGAGCCGCGGACAACATTTGCATGAAATCATCTTCAAACATTGAATTATATTGATCGTTCTATCGATTCCAATAAAGATTTCATCAATTTTTTCAAATTTTTTGGGTTATTTTGAAAATCAAAACCTATACCTCTTAAAAAATCACCCATTAGCAAATGCAACTAATGCTACACATAAGAGTTCTTTATCTTATCTCAATACATTTATTATTCTAGTTGGAATTCAACAACGAACCTGAATGTTTGACAAGTAATGTAGAAACTCCTCCAGGCCAAACTGTGGATTCCATAAGACATCTCTATCTAGGAAGAACACCTCGAGTCGTGAAGCAGTGTGTAAGGTGCTGCAGCTCTGCAGGTATAGTGCAAGCTACTCGAACGGCTGCCATTCGAGCATGGGATCAAAGATGGCTGCGGTCTTGTCAGTGAGTATACAGTGGAATGGTTTTGAAAATATTTTATTGTTGCCGTACCTGCCGTACCTAGACATATATCAGTAGCACTATTGTTTTAATTGTCAAATCAACTTTCACTTTCTTGTTGAAATTTTTAACAATCTCGACTTGCTATCAAAATAAAATTGTAATATATTTCATAGCGTACTAGAGGTGCTTTTTCATTTTTCAAAGATGGAACAAACATACTGCACATAAGATTTCAAGAAATTCAATCGCAATACTACTATTGACGATATATTTAGTGATTCAAATGAGTTTTTTCAAAATTCTCTCTTTCTCTATGTGGGAAACTCATGAAGAAAGGAAGAAAACAATGATATCTGAATAAACTTTTTATAAATATATAAAGATCATGCGAAGAGGTAACTTACAAACTGGAGGGAAGAACCCGCTCGAAACAACTACTTTCATATAAACATATAAACATTGTATGACATGGAAGAAGGAGCACTTGCGAAACAATTTTTTTTATATGGACATTGAATTATAACAAAATGCACTTTTTCCTATTCAGTTTGTGCTCCAAATATTTTTTATGGAATTGAGTCAGATATCATTCACAGTATTGCTACACAAGAGGTAAAATTTCACTTACATGGAACAGTGTTATCCTCAATGATGGACATCAACGTTTTGAATCAGCAAGTTCCTTCATATTAAGAAATTTATAGTTATTTGACCAATTATAATACTAGTAGTGCCAGTTACTCAAGTGGGCCAACTCGCTACTGGATTTGAATTGAATGAAGTTAACATAGAATATACACATTGACATTTTTATATCTGACAAAATTCTACACTACAAAATTCTGACAAATCAATAGGATACATTTGAAATAATTTTTTATGAGTCCATATGACAACTCCTCCACAATTCATAGTTGGTCTGTTGTATGTTTTAACTAATTGAAAACCTTCTATATGCAAACTTTCTAAATATGCCAATTCTATACCTTTTTCAATCAAACATGAGAACTTCAAACTTTTGAATTCGTAAATTGAGTGAGTCACTGTAAAGTTGATGAATCTTATCACTATTTATTGTGTTTGCATTGAGTAAAACAAAACTTGGTTATCATTGATTTCATCTTTGCTCTTCACTAGCACACTATTACAATTGATGAAATATATTAACAGTAAATGTTCAAAATGTCTCCCTCTTAGTCTAGTGCATAGTCTGCATCATTGATTAAAATTCCTTAGCAGATGAATGATGATTGCCAAAAAATCATCATCTTACTTTTCCTGTTGAAGATATCGTCTCTAGGTGTGCATTTTTTTCAATTACGTTTTTTTTCCAGGTGTGGAGGACTCTGGAGAATTCAAATCTGTTCTGGATTGTGATATTAGTTTTATTATCTTAACCATAAAATATATTGAAGTCACTTTTTCAATGGCTTGCAAATATATTTCATGTTATTTTAACTCAAGATATTTTTTTACGTATACAAAATAAATGTATTGTTAAACATTTTTGTTTGTCATTCATGGGAATGGGTCACTCGTTTGTAAACGGTTTAATTTTTTGTAGTGACAATTTACAAAAAAATTTATGCACATTGATCATTACTTTTCATCTTCAAATCATAAATACGATACTATTTTTTTTTTCACTGAAAGGGGTAAGCTGGTCAGCTCCTTCACATTCGGGAGGGCGCGCCAGCATTATTAACGAGTGATCATCGTAAGTCCGAGAATTATGTGCTTCAAGCAGACGCAATGAGCCAAGAGTGACAGCCTTCTGCAGTTATCCACCAAGCTTTATGCCTTCATATGGCAAACCGGCATCTTGAGCATTTTTAGATTAGAGAGTAAATACGGCATCATTCCACCACAATTGTGAACTAATGACTACTCTCCACAACTTGAAGTAAGAGATCATTGGGTCCTAGAAACATGGGCTATGAGAAGGTGTAGCAAACCAAGAATGACAGCCTTCTGCATTTATCCAGCTAAGATCTCTACTATTTTGAAACAAGCTGGTAATGATCTTAACGGTGAACTATCTGCTACTGTTATATTGAGAGATGTCTCTACAAATATATTTGTTTTCTATATATCACGAATCCATCTATTTGAGTAGAGTTTTTATTGATATCCTATGCTGAGAAAAACAAAGACTGTGTTATGAATGCAAATCATTCAAATAAATATCACTTTCGAATATATTTCTACTTTGAGAAATATTATATTTGTTACTTTGATTGAATTTCTTGTAATAAAGCATGAAATGATTTAATTTTGGCATACACAGTGTAATACATCTATTTGAATGATGTGAATGCAAGGCAATTTCAATTCATTTGACATAAAATTGAATATTGGGTGAGTTTGTGCAAATGCATTTCTCATTCAGAGAATAAAATAATTAATATTGTTGGTTTTCAAATCCTGTTATTAGTTGTTATGTCTGTCTGTCTGAAAGCTGGTGCTGCCTCTGCAAGCTATCATCGAAAACGCTGCCTGATTCCTTTGGGATATAACAAAACAATTCACACATATAGACCTGTAAAAAAGTCTGAGATGAGATAAATATGTGTACTTTTATCGATAGCTTGCTATACCCATTTGAATGTTTATAATAATGGTTAGATATCATTATATTACTGCGAAAAGTGACTAAATAACATTTATTGAATTCTGAGATAATTCAATTTGAAGTTTTATTTTGGTTTATTAAATCAGTCTTCGATGTTTTCCAACACTGTCCTCCGACATTGCTCATAAGCCACGTATGCTCTTTTTGCTCTACTCTGTAGATGAGAGTTCCATGTTAGCTTCTTGTCGAGGATAATACCAAGGTATTTCACCTCTTCAGAGAAGTTTAGTTGGCTTTTGAAGATTTCGGGAGGTTTTAAGCTCGTTAAACTTCTTTTCCTGGTGAAAAGGACCATCTCAGTCTTCTTGGGATTATCGGGGCGGTGGTGCTGCCCCTGCAAGCTATCATCGAAAACCCTGTCTGATTCCTTTGGGATATAACAAAACAATTCATACATATAGACCTGTAAAAAAGTCTGAAATTAGATAAATATGTGTACTTTTATCGATAGCTTGCTATACCCATTTGAATGTTTATAATAATGGTCAGATATTGTCATATTACTGCGAAAAGTCACTGAATAACATTTATTGAATTCTGAGGTAATTCAATTTGAAGTTTTATTTTGGTTTATTAAATCAGTCTTCGATGTTTTCCACACAAGCATTGTTCCTTTGGATGGAAAAGGCGGCATGCTCCAGATGTGTTTTACACCACAGAGCATACATTCTTGCCATGTACCCTCCTCCACACGCGGGCTCTCTATTCCCGTAGCAATGCATAAGGCTCATGCGTCCACTTAAAGCTTTCGTTGTCATTGCCAGGGTTGTCATCGATAGACAAGTCATTGTTTTTATTATCATCATTATTATTATTATTTTCAATTTCAAAATAGATTATCAGCAGTTTCTATTATAAATCTTGAGTCTGTCTTGACGGTGAAGAGTTTATATTTTGCCTTGATATCATAAAACAAAGTGCCCCGCCGTGTCTGGCTACCTGTCTAAGTGAATGCGATGAACTACTAACTAAACCAATTTTCATATGGTTTGCACCACTGAGTGATTCAAGAGGGAGATCTATGTGTATAATTCATTAATGTTTTGTGTAAATTGGTTGAAATATGATTATGTCACTGTGAAGTCGGAGTAGTAGCGCTACTCATGTGAAGCTGAGGCATGTTACTGGTTCGAATAAAATTGTGCAATTATAAAGATGAGACCGCTGATGAGCAACAATGAACACTCGCAGGTTACAGTGAAGAGTCGTAAAAAGGCACTCATTTTGTACCCATCTCTACCTGGGTCGAATAGATCCACTCATTTTGGACTTAACCTGACCTAATCTACCTACTTAAATTCATTTACATTTTTTAAAAATTAGACACAAAAATGGAAACAACAGTAAACAATGACCCGTAGATAAAAAAGTTTATATTATTTTGTCCATATGAATAAAACAATAATTAACCATTGTATTTATGAACATAATTGCTGGTGAAAATGAATTGTTTACTGTATGAAGAAATAATGAAAAGAAAATGATATCTGATACTTCAAGAAGAGGAAAGATTTTCTGTCTTTGGAATCCAATGCAACTATTTCGGATAAAGCTTTTCGTACGGAATTTTGGTCAATGGTTTGAAAATTAGGTCGTCGAACATTTGTCCCAAAACCTTCTCGATAGCTGGCGTGAATTCATCAATGATAACATCTAGGTTCTTTGATATGATGGATTTCGTCACTTTCTCTGGAAATAAATTAATATAAAATGAATGCATGAAGGGTATGGATGTTCACTTTTAGAAGAAGTAGGTCATACAGACATAAAAAAAGTGTAGGCAACAACTAGGTATATAATTAATGTAGCTCTTCGAGAATACCTGTTCAACTCTTTGATACTTATACCTACATACAGGCTGATTCACGGTGGATGGCACATTAGACGTTTCTGGTGAACCAGACAACGGATCACTTTGAAAATTTAATGAAGGGCATATTCGGACATTCTCTAGCCAACTAAAATATTTTCGACAATGCGGTGTTGCCGCTAACCTTAAAAAATTGTTTGATAGTTTTAATAAAATTTACATTCTTGAATATTGTTTTAAGAATACAAAGTAACGATATGCCTGATTAGTTTTATTCATTCACTGATTGAAAACACGCAGTGGCTGACGACACTTGACATGTAGTAACGATATTAGACACGTTGATGGTAGTTACCCAGTTACCCAGATACCAGAAGGATTCGTGTGTGGAGTTTGCGACAGTTTCGGAGGAGGACAGCTCTTAAGGGGGTACAGTGATGGTTTGGGGCGGTATGTTTATCTAAAATCAAGGCCTGTACACTACCGACAGCTCTAGTCGAGCCAATCAATCAAGCAAAATGCCAAACATACAAACCGCCGACAAACGCGGACTTTCCACACCACAACTACAACCTTCGTCAATAGACAAGCATCGACAAGGATGATTTCAGTTTCAAAATTCAGCTACCAAGCAATATGAATATAGCAAGTGTGTTCTTGCCGAGAAGTCGTGATAATGTCAAAGACGAACGGATGCACACCCGGGATGACACTTCAGTATGTAATACCATCCTTGGAAGACTACGTCAAAATATACAGACTAATATAATAATTTTATTACATGATTTTTCCTTGATTTTCGTTGTGGAGATATTCCATAGAAAATATTTTCAGAAAATCGACGGACAACTGTGATTTTCCGATTAGGTACTTTCAAATGAAGAACATTTCAAATGTCCTAAAGATAATTGTTTTCTAAAGTATTGAAAAAGAAAACTGGCGACAGTGGTACTATTAGGGGTATCTATCAAATGAAATGAAATATATGGGGACCACTTCAAAGCCAGCAGATTAATTGCTACTTCTGAATATAGGAAAAGAACAAATAATGTTTTGTACAAAAATGCGAGTTTCAAAATTTTTGAGAGGTAATGAATAAGTTATGTAAAAAATGGAAAATAATCAATTTTGTAAAAATTCAAGAGTTTGTAAATATATTGTTTCTTTTCATATTCTCCAATATCTTACCTAACTCCTTATTTTCCCTGAATAAGCCTGTGAATCCATAATCGACAACTTTGCCAACATCCATTTTGGGAATAGTTATCATTGGTCTAAGGAATTCAACTCCATTTCTATTGTAAATTTCAACTGTGTGAAAAATGGTACAACTTGCATCAGCTGAAACAAACTGCTTTGTTACTGACGTTTTGAGCAAAACTAATGAAAAAGTTTCACGACAATATTAGTAAAATAAAGAAATAATTGGAAACACTATTTGGAATCCATGATGTCGATTTTATTTTAGTAATGCATTCAACTCAAAATTGGTGAAGAATTTGAAGAAGGTACTATGTGCAAATTTGAAATGGAAGCTAGGCGTAGCATAAGCCACCTCCTCCCAATAACAACCCACAAGTCAATTTTCTCAAATAGGAATAATGGTCCATTGATATCTTATTTCAAATGTTATGTATCCAACCCTGTAACATTTTTGCCGTTACTACGATAAGCGATGTTTGATAGGAATAAAATACTTTTCTAGTTTGTATTTTATTTCGAACTAGAAAATGAAACTGAACAGACAACTCAACTTCAACAAATATTCGAATTGAGCGCCATTAACTTGTATACAATGCTATAAACGAGCTCCCATTTTCTCTTTTACATACTGAAGAATCAATTGTTGTAGCTTTCTGCACTTGGTAATTTGTTTTTCTAACTCATATACAGTAGTTGGCTGCTTTTCGTAGACTTAATTTCAACTATCCCCCTAGGAAAAGTTCCAGTGGAGTAAAATCGGGGGAACTGGGTGGCCATTCTGTAGAACTTCTCCTTTCAATCCATTAACCCGGAAAGTTATTATCAAGGAACTGTTGCACCGGTACTAGAGTGATGAAAAGCCCAATTTTGTTGAGAATCTACTCTATTTTCAAATAGAGAATCTAACTGGATGATGTTGATGTTGGGCATAACCTGATCATGCGGCAATTTCAAAGATTCTTCAATATTTAGGTTCGCTTCCGAAAATAATGATTCCGTGATACGATTGACAAAATTTCTGCCGAAACATTTATTTTTAGGGATGTAAGATCTCACAAAATTCAACTTTTGTATCGAAATAATCTTTGTTCAATTGATAAATCATATTCATTTCGTAAGGGTGGAATTTGTGTTGATGAAGCATTTTGAAAACATTTGTATGACTTACTTACTCCTGATGCCGTGGACAACTTAGTCAAAGACTGCGTATTTTTCATCAAGGCAACGGTCTAGTAGATACTGCAACGTTATTGCCTTCATTATTGACTATACCTGAACGGTCATATGATCTAAGTTTCCATGAACTCATATACCTAACAAAACCTAAACATTTTTTTATAAAACGAAATGTAATGAACGAAATAATAACTCGAGTTCAAACAGAGCAAACGTAAAAAAACTAATAGTAAAACTAAATAGGTGACCAAATTTTGTGATCAAACAAGAAATTTTCCATCGTGAGTTCTTATTTCTGCTTTCGTTAGTATCATTCAATTGTGCTCAGTTCGAAAATTTGTGTGTTGAAAACTTGAGTTCGTATTTGACATGTACCTACATCAGAAATGTTAAAGGGTTAGTTACATACAAAATTGAAAGTCATTTCAAACAAGGTCTCACTTGACTAGGTATTATTTATTTCTATTTGAAAATTTTGATATGAATGTTGATGTGGAAATGGGTTTACAGCAAAAAGGGTTAATTTTTACAAATATATGTGTTGTTGACGCGATTTTTTTACAGTAAAATATCAAATGACTTTTTCATTCGAAAGAGTGTTCGGTTCGTAACCCAGAAATCTGTGGTTCAACTCATTACAATTTATGATGTAATCTAAGATGTTGTTGGTATGTTAGAATCGTACTAATAAAGAAGGAACATTTCATTTCATTCATCATTTTTGAAAATGAAGAACTGAACTGAAAATGACGCTTCTACCTTTTGAATGATCAAATAGAATATAAACACACTGTGGCGCCGAGGCGACACTAATACCTTTTTTGCGAATAGAAAGGGGAGTAGGTATTTAGTATTTATTTAGTAAAGTAGTCTGTATATTTCACAGGCGTCATATCAGGTGATCTATCAGGTCATTCCTGATATTCTTATCATCGAGTTTGATAACTGGCAATCCTAAATGAGTTTTTGACTGATGTTACATTCCAGCTAGTTGGACACTTCCTCATTATGACAAGTTCATTCGACAATGACTGGATGACAATTATTTGAATCGGCCGGCTAGAATGTCCGACTAGATCACCTGATATAACGCCCTTAGATTTTTTGTGCAGGAATTACAAATGAAATGAAAATTGATATTATTATTATAATAAAATTGAAATTATGATAGGTAAGTATCATAATTTTAAGAAAATTGGAACTAGATATTCGTCATTTGATTGCAGATTCTTGAGAACTGCTAATTACTCAGAAACAGTTTACTCAATTTCGAAAAATGAACAATTGTTGAAGAATTGAAAGATTTATCAAATCAGGTATTACAAGACTACCTTTTTGAATTCTGAGGAATTTAGAGATTTCCATCGACCTTTTTTGGGATTTGCACCTTCCACAATGTTGACGTCGAGAGAGTTTGGAAATGAAACGGATCGAAGGAAAATAACTGCAAGTTATAAACTAGTTATTTATTGGTACCAGTTTTTCAATAGCAAATTAAATAACTTGAAGTAACAAGGGATACCATAATTACAGTTGATTAACATTATTCTCCTCTTGAGCAGGTTCTACAGTGTGATCTGTCACGTTGTCGGCAGTTGGGAGTGATTGATACCATGGGTGAAGTTCTTCTGGTATAATATTTTTGGGGCATAGTTTCGATAGATCTTGCTTTTTAAGAACACTAATGGGAAGGGGCTTTTTTAATTTCTATTTTATTTGGGCGACCTTGCTTGAAAACATTAAGAATATTGTAGGAGCCACTATGACTATATCAAAACTTTATTATCCCCGGGCTTTTTTCCTCATATCGTAAGCATTTCATCTGAAGCCATTTGACTACATTGCCATCTTTGAGGCGGTTGTTAAACATGTGTTTACTAAGTTCTTTAAGGTCAAGAAAATCAGAATATTTCAACTGCTTCACATGAAACGGTTTTATTTCTGTTCGATCTGTCTCTCTGCATAATATTCATCCACTCCAGCACAGAACTGATACTAACATGCCGTTTTTCTCGTTCTACTTCCATAAAAGAATGTCCCGATTCCAAAAAGTTTTGTTCAATAACATCGAAATGTGTGGTTTGTGTAAGGAAGAGCAGTAATGCAGATATGTGTTGATTCCTATTTTGGCCTCCGCATGTATTAGAAAATAATAAAATTCCTTTGATATTCTCTGGAAGTTTTGATATCCAGTGCATCAAGGCAGTGCCTTTTTCATTACTTCTTCTCTTTCAATTTATTTCAGAACATAATAAGCAATGGGCCTCATTAGGTTGTCTGGATTCGTATATACCTACATAAGTTGTAGATACAAAGTTTTCTACAATAATATAACAGAGATTCTGCACCCAATGGTATTTGAAGCACGCTTTGAAGATCAAATGTAGCAGACATGAATGTGGAATCTTCATTTGATCCGACTTAATCTTCCTCCTTGGCGAGATGAGCTTCATTTTTTCTATCCATATGTTTTTTATAAGCAGACTCAAGTTGATCATTGAGTATACGTTCCTTCTTGGCCTCAGCATATTTATTTCAAGAGGAACATTGGTCTTTTTTTGGAACGAAAAATGACAAATTTAATGATGTGCTGATTATTTTCCGGTACATCTAGTGGGTTACTGGTGTTCGATTATTTTGCTTGCAGAACTCTTCATATGAAGAAAACATCTTACTGATAGATAATTTGGAATCCAAATGAAGCCTTTTCGTATTCTTCTTGCAATAATTCGACTCCATTACAGGAAACATGTCGATATGCTGTATTACACGTACCTCTCTGCTACACTTTCGTGTAGCAGAGAGGGACGTTTGCTCCAGGTCTTGCTGGTGGTTTTAGATCTACAAATTTCAGAATGAAATTCTTTTGTCTTGAATAACTGGAGAGAGCCCAGAAGTTTTTGCAAATGTAAAATCCGTTTTCTTCATCAAAGATACTGCTACATTTGTATCTATAAGTTCCACAGTTTACTGGCTTGGGAGTTTTAGCAGGCATACATTTTGTCTTGTATGGCATGCAATTGTACATCTTCTGTTTTTCAATATTTTTCTGCCAACTGGATGGATTCGCTTGCGTCCATCGGCAAAGTTTTGTTTTTGGTTATGTGTTTATGCCTTCCAGAAAATTTTCCTTTTCTTCCTCTCTACGGACACAAGTACTGGTGTCAGTCTTATCCACTGGTGCCCAATTTTTGTCAGCTACCGGCAGCTACCACTAACGGCAGTTAGTGAGTTTTTGCATTATTGCACAGTTGAACACATATGTAACACGTTAATTCGAAAAGGCATTAAGTTACTTGAATAATACTTTTTATACTTTTGGTGACTCTCAGCATATACAGAAAACGCTTATTGATAGATTAACGCAGTTAGTGACTATCAGAACTGAAAGATACACTTAAATCATACTGTAAGATGCAGTTAGTTGATCTTTCCATGAAATGTCATTTAGTGACTTTTCGCAGTAATATGACGAATGTAGTAATAGGAAAGCTTTTATGCATTGCTAGGATTTTTTTTCAGTAATTATGGTCAATTTTTCCAACTTCCAATGTCACAACTTTTCCAAGATTGCATATTCATTATTTAATGATATATACATACAGCCTACAGCATGATGACCGTCGGTTAGCCTTTTTTGGGAAATAATAGGATTCATATCCTGAAAGTTGATGCATATAGGTTTTTTACTATGTTTCATCGGAGGAAAATGATGGGTTGCTCCAACACTTCCGTTATACCGGGAGTTCGTACCAACTTCCCCAATTCAAATGTAATACCCTGTATATTTTCACATTTTTCAATACCTGGCGTAGTTCTAATGTAAGTTTATGTAACACACCCTATACCAAAAATGAATTGTTCTTGAGATATTCATTTGTTTTCTCCAAAAAACTAGGTAATAATAATAATAATGATAATAATAGGTCTTTATTCCCATAATGATACAATAAATAAACGGGAAAGGCTGAAGATCAGTTGGTTGCACCAAAAGATTCAAAGTTCGATAGAATACATAAATGAACTATAATTGATTCATCAAAATACTTCATTCCATCATTTTGTAGGAGTAACATTTTTGAAATGTTATACAAGGTGTTCGGAATCAATGACTAATTTGGTAGATATAAAAATGGGCCATAACTCAGTATTTTCAAATAGAACACCATATATTTCAGGATAGTTTTGACTCATTTTCATGAAACATTCCCTAAAGCCAACTGTTCACGAGATATTTCAGTTTTTTTTCAAATAAAACATTCGCATGCCCACCATAAAACTACGGGCTACAAAACTTTCATTTCGAATAGTTACAGAAAGTTTACTAGAGCTCACAGTTGTCCTCACAGTTGGAGAATATGATTATTTCCATATACTTGATATTGCTAATCTTCACACCCTTTTTTTTCGTAGAACAAATAAATCAGGTGACATTCATTGTTATGATTTATTATGTGAAGTTTCATCCCGAGTACCTGTTCATTCAACTAAGAACAACGATCTTTCTACTGTACCTAATCTTACTAACTATGGATAATTCTTACCCATGTCAAAGTTTATGGGAGACGCCAACCATCTAATGGTGACATTACAGGAATTTCACTGAATACTTCTAAAGAAAGCTTCGAACTGCGCTAGGGCTGGAGTGTCTAGATGGAGCTGTGGATGATTATAAATATCCCTCCAGAATGATCCCATCCGATCAGCTCGGCGGATTATCCACAACACGTGGATACCACCTTTCACCAACTTGATCTTAGCCTCCATATCGTTTACCCGCCGTTCAGTCTTCCGACCCAGCAGGCCGGAATTCCGTCCTGAATCGAATTGCGATTGAACGGCTATATACACGGTGGTGCTAATTTGCCAGATGCCAGACTTTCTGTAAAAATATCACGACCTTCCGCATCTAAACGAGCCAGTCGTTATGGTTACAGGGGCCTAATTCGGCAGAGCGCCATATGCGTATTCAGATTGTCGCCAGTGGTGGCATGATGGTTTTCTCTCCAGCCTCTCCCACGGGTGGTAGAATTGCCATTATCATCACTACTCAAGCAGGCTGGGGAAGAGCTACATCGCCCTGCCGCGGAACATAAGATAGGTAATCCCTAAGGTTTTGGTTGGAAAAGGCGGCAAGTTCCAGATGTGTTTCACACCACAGAGCATACATTCTTGCCATGTACTCTCCACACGCGGGCTCTCTATTCCCGTAGCAATGCATAAGGCTTATGCGTCCACTCAAAGCTTTCGTTGTCATTGCCAGGGTTGTCATCGATAGACAAGTCATTGTTTTTATTATCATCATTATTATTATTATTTTCAGTTTCCAAATAGTTCATCAGCAGTTTCTATTATAAATTTTGAGTCTGTCTTGACGGTAAAGAGTTTATATTTTTCCTTGATATCATAAAACAAAGTCACCCGCCGTGTCTGGCTACCTGTCTAAGTGAATGTGATGAACTACTAACTAAACCAATTTTCATATGGTTTGCACCACTGAGTGATTCAAGAGGAAGATTTATGTGTATATAGAATTAGTTTTTCTTTTTTGTTCATTTTATTATTCGTTTATGGTTAAGTATTGTGAATAAAATTTTATATTATCCTGTAAATGGGTAACTGTTGCACAATACAGCTATTATTATTATTTAAGACCTAAGAAGCACTTATATACTAGATTTTAGCTTTCTAGGACTTACCATTACGGAGAAAGAAAATGAATGTGTTTGTGTTAAGTGGGTGACTTTCGCATTTATATTCTTTAAAAATCCTTTCTTATTGCACATCTACAACATAAAACGAATACACATAAAAAATTTCAGCCTCCGAAAATATATCGGTGATAAAAAGTGAGTGACTTTCGCATTTAGATTTTCGAAGCTGAAGACGGTGGCAAATATAATCCCACGAAACGTAGAGATTGTGAAAGGTGAAAATCTCCAGAGAAGTTGATGAAAAAGTCCCCTTTTCCTTTGAAAAATGTTTTTCTCGTTGAAAAATGCCAAAAATGCTGCCGTTATAATTCAACAGGGGAGGTGGTAGGGATCTTCTTTCTACGCCAGCACTGTATGAAGCAATTTTATTAATTGTATATTAAAACATCACAGGCAATTTAGGTATTCAAGAATATCGAAAGACAGTTATGGACAAGCTTCATTGATAATGTTATATTATCCTGCTTCCTTTTAGCTGCCAGTTAGGGTAGAGCCGGGTTTGGAAGTCACCTTTTTTGTCTTTTGCATTCTTAGTGTTCTTTTTTATAAATCATTAATGATATAATATCAATAAATAGTGTTTTTATACTCTTTTCTTTTTTTTTCTGTATCTGTAGTATCTGGAGCAGGTAGTCACATAGTTAATTGAGAGGTATAAAACATTTTGATGAATATTTTCATAGTCTTGTCTTCTAACACCGCATATCTAGTGGGCTGGACCATAACGGAATTCAGAAATCTCTTCCTAAATTTGACAAGCTGTATGTAACTCATTAAATCCAAGATGAGGAAAAAAGTATGTCATTCGTAGGAAAAAAAACATATTTGATCTATCCACTGATCCATTGCGTTGCTGATGTACCCAACTGACCTACCCAAAGGTTGTAGGAGGTGAGTATAGTGGTGGCAGCACTGTAAAATTTTTGCGCAAAGTTCGGACCTTTAATGGACAAGTGAGAGCTGTTTCCAAAAAAACTTCTAACATTATGTGGGTTAAAACTAGAGGCTAGGGTCAAGCTGGTAGTTTCAGGTGTTCTAATAGATAGACAAGGGCGTCTCTTCATGAATAAGGTAAATCAAACGGGACTAGTTGGCTTATTCAATATCCAAGATATTCAAATTTTCAAATTATTGGAAACAGCACGCTCGAACGATAGTTTTCGAATATCCTTGGCAGACAAACCGAAATAAATGCTTGAAGCAATAAGTATGTATCTTTCTGATTCTTTCTTCTATTTGAAGATTTGCCTGTCCCGTTGATAATAACCAATTTTTGTTGATGGTATTGAAGACATCGTGTTGCTCATCTCTTCGACAGTGAATTATTTACAAAATCGCATCTGAGTGCGATAATAATTAATCTCATAATACTTTGCCTTCTTCACTTTTTTTGCAGAACATTGGGTATAATACAAGTCGATCAGACTTTCTTATATGATGCCATGGCATTTCTATGATTTGCTCTAAAACAAACAAAATTGTTGAAGCAGAAGCTCAAAAAGTCAACAAAAAATGCAGCACGTCAAGTCGAAACAACCAGCCCCAAAACATATTTCATAACAAAACCCCCTAAAATAACTCTAGATCAATATTTATTAATAAAAACTAATAGTGATATCATATGAGCCACATATGTCACATCAAAAACACATGAAATAATATATATCTATGGAAAATTCTAGTATAATCATGAAACTCGACACAAATGCACAAAAATATAGTTTTGCAGTCCGAAAAAAACAAATGTACGTATTTCCTTCACATAGTTAGTGAACTAAAGTGACGTTAGGATGGCGGTATTGCTCTCGCGATCCTTCGATTTTGTTCGATTAACTCTTTCCTTCGTTCAATTTTCCAATATGGCCGGTGTCGGTGTGACAACCAACCCGTGAGACAACCAAACCCGGTTACCCCTAATTTATAAGAATCCCCTCAATTGCGTCCTTATGGAGTAGTCCTGGACCATTTGGGACACTGAAGGGTTAGTGTATAATAAAATACATATTAATATTTCAGAATCAATTTCAGCTTCGTTAGTATTTTCACCCTTGTATGTGAATTGTAAGCCAACTGTTCTTACTTAAATTAACGTAGAAAATTCCTTTTCCTCTTATGGGGGCTAATAATATGTTCCCTTCCAAAATGTACTGACCACTGAGATGAATATAAGGAAGGTCCACCTTTATGTCGAATGACTTGTTAGCAACATTGAATCTGAAATAATAAGTTTGTGAAAAATTAGATGAAACTTGTTAATTCGTTGTGTTCACTAAAAATTTTCAGATAGTGATTATATTGAGTTTTGATGAATTAAAAAACTTTTTTCTTTATTCAACTGAAAATTTTATTAAAACAACGATAAAAATAACATAAAAACAACAATAAAAATTAATTGGCGCTCCGGGGCGACTTCATTGATTCCAGTGGCGCATTTCGCATTTGCTTTTTCAGCTGCAGGAAAACCCGGAAAAACCTGCNATCCAGCTGCGAATTTGATTTTTCAGCTGCAGGAAAACCCGGAAAAACCTGCAGCACCACATCATCTGAAGATCTTGTTCTAACAATGTCCTCTCTCTTATAAAACAAAATGTCATAATTGGGGGTATTTCTCAAATATCAAAACATTGTGAAATACATTTTTTATTGCAATTTTCGTTCTCAAGCAAAATGACAATTGCATAAAATAATTTTACTTTTGTGCCCGTTCTTCCATAATTGAAACAATGCTGTATAATGAAACTCGATGCCAACTAAATAACATTTCTAATTATCAACAGAAAAATTGTCTTTGAACTGGCGATATATAAAATAACTCTTTTTTATATAGAATTTGAAATAGATCTATTGAAATTTGTAAAGTAACGTTCTTTCATTGTTGATGATTTACAGGTATGGTCACTTCATAAAGTAATCATTTTTGAATAGGTTATTTGTATCTGACAGTGTAAGATTATAACTAAGACAAACAATTACACAGATTCATCGGTGAAGCCTGTGAGAGGTGGAAAATAAAAATGTACGTTCAAGTTTACGAAAAGTTTCACGAATCTGATTCAAAACACCTCATTTAAAATTTGTCATGGAGGTACGTTATTGAAAAAGTTAAAATAGCCGCTTCATATTCAAGAGCAGTTTCCAAGATAAACTAATTTAAGTTGTGTCTTAAGGTGCGTATTCACTGAGCGAACGAAGGCCGAACGAACAGCGAACTCCGAATTTGAATTCGGTCATTGTGTATGTTAAAGCGAAGGCGAAGCGAATGGCATCTCTACGTTCGGTTCGCCTTCGCCATCCTTCGCGGGAAGAGCGGTACATCAAAGAGATTCGCTGTTTGGTGTGGACGGGATTCAAGATTTCTAGTTTCATTCCGAAACGAACGTCGAATTTGCGTTGAAATGTTCAGATAGTTTTCGAACAACTTCAAACATGTCAAGTCAGTTAAAAGCTCCAATAGGGGATTGGAGCTTGATTTCGACTTTGATAAATTTTTTACATCCAATATCTTCGTTTCCTTTTTTGTTTTGCACTGGTTTTCAGTACACCTGTAATAACTATGAAAGATGATGCTGCAATAATTTTGTCACACATGTTTGCAATGAATGGAGTCGAAGCCAAATGCCCAGCGAATAGCGAACTTTTTAAACACTACATTCGGTGCGGAGTTTGCTTCATCGAAACGAAATCGAGGAATTGCTGCCGAACGAACCCCGAACTTTCGTTGTTCAGAGTTCGCTGTTCGTTCGGCCTTCGTTCGCTCAGTGAATACGCACCTTTACGATGATGCACCAAAAAATTTAGTTGGCAGTGAAACAAACGAAAAAAAACCATCGAAAAGCACTTGTGCCTAGTCAAATCGCTTTCTTTTTGTCATAACAGCTATTGTAATACCGCTCATTGAAATGCTAACTTTGCAGAAAAAAATGTAATTTTGTTGATGTGGTAAGAACGCAAGTTATCGTGTAACAGTGTTCATTTTGATCGAAAGGTACCCAGGCTCTACTTTCAGTTTGAGTATGGCGAAATTTCAATCTACTGGATCATTGAAAATTTCGTATAGAGAACGCATAATC